TAGTTGGAATTATCGCTCATTAAAGCCTTTATGGAAGGTCATCAAAAACCTTAAGGAAATTTGTCCTAAGGCTCAAAGAAGAAAAGGAGGAGGGAAAAGAGAAAGAAACTGGGAGAGGAAGGAGGTAGATCTGTATCTAAATGTAAAAGTTCATTGTCATCATATATGTAACACTAAAAAAGTTAGAAATACACAACTAATAATACAGCTTCTACATATTTTCTCACTGTCAGCAAAGATCAAGACCAAATTATTGTTTTAATTTGAAAATACTCTTCATTCTTGTTATATTTATAAACCAGTATGTATCTTAAAATATTCTAAACAGATGTATTTCACAGAAAGTACAAGGATAAGTTTATGCACATATTTTAGTGTAATGTAAATATAAGGAATTAAAATATTTAATAGTGATAAAATATAAAAGATAAATATTTAAATATTCACCACCAGTGTGGTCATGTTTATATCCAAAATTATGAAATATTACAAATATGAGCAATTGATATGCTTGAGTATATCATTTCTATGAAAAATTATACTTTCTCTTTATTACCGATATGGCCTTGTTTAAGAAGATTTGGTGATTAGGTTTAAGAAATTGAAATAAATACTATGATAATATGAAAATAATTTAATCCAATACTTCTTATAAAAATTAGATGTCGTCACTAATAATGGTAATTAATTGAACAATTATTTACCTTTCATGTTATTACTTTATACACTAGTCACACCTAAACTGGTAAAAGTTCATTTGTTCACTATATTGTGTAAATTAAAAGTTTAATTGATTGAAATGTAATGTAGCATAATCTGCCAAAAGCATGGACTCTGGAGTTATACTTCCTAGACTGAATCCAGGTTTTACCAATTACTAAATGACAATTTTTGGTGTGTTACCAGCCTTTATATCTCAAGTATCTTATCCATTAAAGGGGAATAACAGCATCTACCTCATAGGATTGTATGAGGATTAAAAATGGTATATGGAAATACTCAGGAGAGTGCCTGGTACACATTATGCTCTATACAAGCATTCACTATTATCAACAATACTATTAAAGCTTCTCTGGAATTATATTAATGTTAACATTTATTACCTTTAATAATTTTTCCTTCCTCCAGTTTTCTGAAAAGCTTAAAAACAGTATTAAAAAAGCTCAAACTCAATATTTGAAGGAACCTTGTGTCAGTTTAATAACTGTCTCTTACTAACATATATTTAAAAGAATTTTACATGTACATCGATTTTAGAGAGACATATTCAGTCTCTTTAAAGTCAGATTGCAATAAGGATAGAAATGGTAACATTCTTATATAACTCATAACTTCAAAGTGCTAAGAAGCCAAATGATACCATTTCTCACATGCAGCTATGCCCTAGCTGAGTGCACACTGAATGGTTGTTGCTAAATATCCCCAAAATTCCCAAAAGGAGCAAATCTTATTGAGAAAATTCTTAGTTTCAGTTGTGAACATACTAAGTTTCAGGTGTTCACAGAATACTTCATGGACATCCCAGGAAGCAATCAGAAGTACAGACCTGAAGTTAGGAAGCTTCCTCTCAGAAGTTCATCCCTTCATCCTTTGTACTACTGTGGCACTTGTTGCATCCTACTACAAGACAGTCATTAGTCTCCACAACCTTCTCTACTGTTAGACTTAAGGGCATTTAGGCCCCGTCACATATGGGCTCAATAAATGTTCATTTTTAAAAATGAAAAACTTGCAGAACTATACAATTAAATTTTAAAAAGTTATTTTTCAATCTGTGGATTTTAAATAACACTGAAATTTTCATTTGGAAGAATTCTTACAAAATATAAGTAACATGTAAATAAAATCCTTCTTCTTTTTTTTAATTTAATCACATGAGAATTACTAAATGTTACCTAGAAGTGAAACTTTGGCATCATCACCAGATCTATAAACCTGCAAAAGTAATACAAGTCAACAAATATATAACTAAGAAAGAGTTCAATGAAGACTTCTTGAAGTACACTTAAATTAATAAAAATTCTCAAGAAGTTTGTTAAAATATCTGCAATGTGAACTGAAAAGATGTCAATTTCTCATTCACAGGCCACCTGAGTTCAGTAACTTAAAAATGAAAAGCCTCAGGACCCTTCCAGCACACATTATTTAAAGAGCTGTGATAAGTAGCATATGACAAATGAGCTCAGTTTTAAGCACTAGGTAAGGGAAAGCTGCTGTCATCCCCAGCCCACTAGCTTTTGTTTGACTGCTAATTCTTTCATTTAAAATCTGTAGAAGCACTTCCTAAAGAATGCTTCACTGGCAGTATTTACCACCCAAACTTAAAATATGGTCAATTCTATCAAGGCTCCAATAGCAGAACACCCTGGCTGCCAGTTCTATATTTAATAGCAGATAATGACAATTTCAATTGTGCTTGACAACTACACACCTGAAACCATTCCATGGAAATGATGCTACAATATTGTTACTTATTTAGAGGTCTGGGACCCAAGAGAAAAACAGGGAAGACAGCAGCAGTAGAGGATTAAAAAGACAGCAATGCAATATAATACAGTCTTAGAACTGTGAAACTGCAGGAAAACAAAAAGAAAGGTATTCACAGAATGAAATTTCTACACAGAATAAAACAGGGACTTAAGCCTACACTTTCTCACTTGAAAGCGCATAAGCAAGGATCAAATGTCCATTGATTCTAATTTTATATAACAAAAGCCTGAAAACTTTATACCAATAGAAAATATTGGTAAATTAAAAAGTATTCCTCCAATTCTGGCCCTCTTTTTGCGCTCTGTGAAGCAATTCATAAGGTGAAAAAAATAACTTCAGACTATAAATGATGAATGTAACTATGAGGAGTGGCCTCTCTATGAGGTCTGAAATAGAAGGAAAATGTATATTTCTTCCAAAACTGTAGCCAACAATAACTTTTGCATTCTGAATCCAGCTTAAGCACATTAGTTGGGAAGATGTAAAAGTATTTAATAAGAAAGTGCTGAATTTAGATTTTATTTTCTTTTTTCTCAGTTTTCTTAAGTGGCCTGCAGTCTATCAAATGCACTAAGTAGAACCTCTCCTAAATATAAATGACAAAAAGAAAATATAGCTTTCTTCTTATAGATAGCTATTTCTAGAGATCAGGGGTCATCAAACTTTTTCCATAAAGGGCCATATAGTAAATAGTTTCAGCTTTACAGGCCATGTGGTCTCTGTCACAAATACTCAACCCCACCATGTAGCATAAAAGCAGAGATAGATAATTGATAACTAAATAAAACCTCATTTTCAAAAATAAGCAGCCAGTTTATGGGCCCATGGCCACAGTGTGCTGACCACTGATGTAGAACATACTTTTTACCTAACAACAAATACATTGTTTTAATAAATACAACCAAATATAAAACGTGATGTCTGGGATGTGCTGTAAAATACTGTATTAAGAAAACATGGAGAGTGGGGGGTAAAGGTTAACTAAGACTGGCAAAACACATTTATTGTTAAAGCCAGGTGATAGATGCATGGGGTTCATTAAACTGTTCTCTGTAATATATATTATATATAACATGTTTGAAAACACAAAGTAAATCAGTAAACTGACTGTACAGGAAAATGAATTTCCTCACTTTACTAAAAACCATCTAAAACACATTTAATGTTTTTAAACATAATTAACATAATACAATATAAAAGGTTCCCAAAATAAAGCTACTAAGCTATAATGAAAAAACTTAAAAACTTAAACCAATAAACTGTATATACTAAAAGTATACATAAGCATTAGCCCTTAAATTTTTCCATAATTTAAAACAGTCTCACCTCATACAATTCCTAAAGTAATACATTTATTTTATTCTTATCTAACAAAATGTGTTTCCAATTTTTGTTTCAGAATGTAAATACTTTACAGGGAAAATATTATGTTAACATATAATAGGTTTATTCTTTCAAATGAATTAAATAATTTTTTCTCAGTTTTCAACTCTAGGCAATAAATATTAATAGATACAACCCCCATAAATAAATGCTATTCAAGATCTTCAATAATTAAGAGTGTAACGGGAATCTGAAACCAAAAAATTTGAGAACCTATGATCTAAATGTCTTCAATGTCATTTAAAGTATGTTCACAAGCAAATATTAGATACATGCTCAAACACATTTTTTCTTAGAACAATAAATATCACATAGTGCAGTCAATCCACACGGAAGGCTATCAATACATACAAACAAAAGGAAGACACTGAAACCTTCAAAAGAAACATTCTTTTAAAATCACCAGATATGTCAAGAATAGGAAAAGAAGATCTCTAGTGTGTTGTCCCCTTATGTATATAATTATCTCCTGGATCAATAATAAAGAAAAATGAGTATGTGCCAGCAGACATTTCTAATAAATATGCTATCTCTCATTAAATCAAGATACGCAGTCCCAATGCAAGAAGCCAGAAATCAAGCTGAAAAGGGCCTTAGGAAAGAAATCTCAGTGACTGTGCAACTTTTCAAAAACTGAATGTGTTTTTTAAATGTTCTAAGTTATTTCTCAATGTTCTGAAATACACTGATTTCAAATATTATCAAAACTAAAAACTAACTTACATTAAGCTAACAAAATTACTGTGACATTTGAGAAAAACTGAGAACTCTGTGAAAACATTTCAACTATCCCAGAATATAATCTGTAACAAAATTTTCTAAAATCTAAAATCAAAATAGTAATAAACAATTCATAACACAGATAATAATTAAGGCAAAAACATTTATATAATTATTCATTCTTTTATAAAGATAAACCAATACATACTTTTCTAATACAGTACCATTGTAGCATTTTTAATGCTGTCCCTTTTGTTTGCATATGGCTATTTAAAATGTTATCAATTTCATTTTTATTTAAGTATAAGTTTCCCAGTTAAGTTTTATAAATTTTGCTATTTCTATTTTCTTTTATCAACATGAATAAATTTAATGTATTAGTAAGTAAGATACAGAGACATACTTACATCATACTCTGCAATTCTGAGGCAAAGCTTGTAGACTTCCCTGTATTTCTTCCACTACTTGAAGTGGCAGTAGACATAGGGCTGGCTGCAGTATTATTCATCTAAATAAAAAGAAAAATAACACAAAATATACTTAAATATAAATAAATGTAAGGAAAATAAAAGCAAAAAGTATAGAAAATTTTAAATTTTAAAAAAATTTTTGAAGGTTTTATTTCTTTATTTTCTACAGAGAGGGGAAGGGAAGGACAAAATGAGGGAGAAACATCAATGTGTGGTTGCTTCTCATGAGCTCTCACCAGGGATGTGGCCCGCAACCCAAGCCTGTGCTGCCCAACTGGGAACCAAACCTGCAACCTTTTGGTTTGCAGGCCTGCGCTCAATCCACTGAGCTACACCAACCAGGGCAAAAAATTTAAAATTTCTAGTTGTATAGAAATCTAATTTTTTATACTTAATATTCTTTATTAAAATAAAATAATAAAGTGGGAAAGAACTGCTCAGTCATGTATATCAAAAAATTACACACTTGAGTGATATAACATTCCAATACATATTTTGTAGTAAGTAATGGAAGAAAAATACTCATTAAATATTTTAATAGAGCTCAGTGTTTCTCAAAATGTGTTCCAGGGAACCCAAAGATTATCTTCTAGGGGCCCCCAAGCATGTAAGTGTATATACCTAGTCAATTCCATCCAGAACACCAGAACAACTCTGATTTTATACATAGTGAGATTCATTTTAAAAAAGAGTTGTACAACCGTTAAGATACAAAATGAAAAAACCACGGCACTACCCAATTCCTATAGGAACCAAACCCTAAAATGCAAATAATGTAAAGTCAATCAGTAGATCAGAAGCAAGCATTGTTGTACTTTGCAATCTTACAGTTATGTAATTCATCAATTTTAAATTGTGTGACTTTTTTTCTAAGTATATTTTATTGTTATTACAGTTGTCCCAATTTTTCTCCCTTTGCCACCCACCCTTTTTTCTGCCTGGTACACCCTTTCCTTCCAGCAATCACCCCGCTTAGTTCATGTCCATGGGTCATGCATGTAAGTTCTTTTGCTTCTCCATTTCTTATATTATTCTTAACATACCCCTGTCTATTTTGTACCTACCATTTATGCTTCTTATTCCCTGTACCTTTTCCCCCATTCTCCTCTTCCCCCTCTCCACTGATAACCTTCCCAATAATCTCCAGTTCTGTGAATCTGTTCCTGTTCTGGTTGTTTATTTTGTTTTGGGGTTTTTTTTTTTTAGATTCAGTTGTTGATAGTTGTGAGTTTGTTGCCTTTTAATGTGTAGTTTTTATCTTCTTTTTCTTAAATAAGTCCCTTTAACATTTTATGTAATAATGGCTTGGTGATGATGAACTCCTTTAGCTTTGCTTCATCTGGGAAGCACTTGTCTGTCCTTCCATTCTGAATAACAGCTTTGCTGCATAGAGTAATCTTGGTTGTGGATCCTTGCTTTTCATCACTTTGAATACTTCTTGCCAGTCCCTTCTTGCCTACAAAGTTTCTTTTGAGAAATCACCTGACAGTCTTATGGGAATGCCTTTGTAGGTAACTGTCTCCTTTTCTCTGGTGCTTTGAAGATTCTTTCTTTTATCTTTAACCTTTGGCAGTTTAATTAATGATGTATCTTGGTGTGGTCCTCTTTGGGTCCAACTTGTTTTGGACTCTGTGCTTCCTGAACTTGTACGTCTATTTCCTTTGCCAAATTAGTTAAGTTTTCTTTCATTATTTTTTCAAATAAGTTTTCAAAATCTTGCTTTTCCTCGTCTCCTTCTATGATTTAGATGTTGGCACATTTGGAGATGTCCCAGAATCTTCTTATACTATCCTTGTTTTTTTTTTTTTAAATTCTTTTTTCTTCTTGCTATTCTGATTGAATGTTTTTTTCTTCCTTGTATTCCAAATCATTGATTTGAACCCCAGCTTCCTTCCTTTCACTGTTGGTTCCCTGTAGATTTTTCTTTATTTTACTTAGTATAGCCTTTTCTTCTTCCTTTATGTTGTTGCCATACTCAATGAGTTCTTTGAGCATCCTGATCACCAGTATTTTGACCTATGCATCTGATAGGTTGGCTATCTCTTCTATTTAGTTCTTTTTCTAGAGTTTGTTCTGTTCTTTCATTTGGGCCATATTTCTTTGTCTCCTCCATTTGGCAGTCTCCCTGTCTTGTTTCTATTAGGTAGAGCTGCTCTGACTCCCTGTAAAAGGCAACTGTACATTCTGTGAGGCAGAGCCTTAGGTAATCACCAGGGTGGGGCAACCAGCTTCACTGCTTTTTGGCTCTGTGTATGGAGAGGCCTCAGAGAGGGGACTGTGCCACTGCCTGGCTTCTGTGGTTTACCCAGCACTAGCCACCTACTCCCAGTATATGGGACTGGCGCCCTGCCTGCTGTTTCCCTATTGTTGAATCCCGGAGTGGGTGGCTTTGCCTACGATTTAAGACCATGCAGACCCTTTAAGCAGTTTCCTCTGCCACCCCAACCCCCACTGATTTTTACAGCCAAGAGTTATGGGGATTTATCTTCCCAGCACTGGAACCCTGGGCTGTGTGGTCTGCCTGGGGCTGGGATCACTTGCTCCCAAGATATCCCTCCCGATTTTTAGCTACTACACATGAATGTGGGACTGCTTATGACTGTTCCACCGACACCACCGCCTCTCCATGCCACACTGTGTCTCCACCCCTCCTGCTCATCTGGATGATTGTAGCTTCTTTAAATCCTTGTTTGTCAGACTTCCATACAGTTTGATTTTCTGACAGTTCTGGGTATTGTTTTAAGATTTAGTTGTAATTTTTTAATTCTTTTTGTGGTTGTGCAAGGTGGCAAAGTGTGTCTACCTACACCCCCATCTTCTAAATTGTGTGACAATTTTTCCATTAAAATTAAGCTGAGGCATAATGGGAGAACTAGAAGACAATCTTAATATATCCCATTTTATTTCATGCATGTGGCAGTCCCATAAACAAGAATTTGCAAAAATAACATTAAAATAATGAAAGTAGATAAAAACTTCAATTATTACACACTAAGTGCTTAATAAATGTTAGCTATTAATTCCTGGTCATATAAATGCAATACTATAACTTTAAAATAAAAATATTTTGCAGATTCTAATTCTAAAAAAGAATTAAATTTAGAACAAGTAATAAAGAACTTTAAGTAAAGTAAACTAGAAAGAGTCTGGAGACAGACTGCCTAGATTTGAATCCCAGGTCTGCTACTATAATAGTACTTTGGGCCAATGACTTAATTTCTCTGTGCTTTAGTTTCCTCATCTGTAAAATGCAAATAATAATTTCACCCTCTCTGTGTTATCAGGATTAAATGAACTAATGTGTTCAGAACAGTTCTGAGCACACATTAGCTATTATAAACAGAAAGATCTTAAGTATTCTGTCTCTTGATTTGCTAAAAGTTTTTATATGATAAATTTAGATTACCCTCATTTCATAATCACAAAAGTTTAAGAAGCCTGAATATTTTCACTGAAAAAAAACTTAATGCAACTCAACAAATATTAAGTATAACAGTTTCCTTATAAAATAAGTTCTGTTTTCACTACTGGCATCACTACTGCTACTGGTCACCCTATCCCAAAAACCTCAGTAGTTATCTTTGACTCCTTCTCCAGCACCCTATAATCTATAGGAAGCCAAAAGAATCCTATTTTATGTTCTTACATCTTCTCCATCTTCCTCCTCTTTTCTACCCTATGGTTCTCTATCAGCTCTATTTATAGCTTCTTTCTTTCCATCTCAGTTCATTCTCCACATTGCTGCCAAATTTGTCTCTTAATACATCCTCCAATTTGACCACTCGTATGGGCAATGCTAGCTAAAATTGATAAAGGAAACCTGAACCAGGGCCATTCACCAAGAGCTGGGATGGAAGGGCTGGGCCCCATGCAAGGGAGCTGGAAAAAATCTAATACAAACCACCACCTAGATAGGCCAAATTTAAAGCTTTTGAGAAGGTAACAGGACAGAGATCTAAAACAAGGGCACACTAGCTTGGTGGCTAGATATGAAATATCTCAATGTCCTTCTGTGGCAGGACCTGTTACCTGCCAACATAAGCCCTAGGCTAGTCTGAGGGCCCTAAGGGCCAGGCCAAAACCACCACATAGAAAATGCAAGAGCAGAGAAAGAGAAGGAAAAAAGTTTCACTCAAACTGAGCCTGAAAACAAAAATTCTGTAACTCATGAAGAAGCTAATGCTATGGCATACCATCACGTTTCTTAAGCCTAAGTTTTTTTCACAAAGCCTTTTGGAATAAGTATTTTTCTACAAATAATATAGAGAAAAGAAAGATCACCACTTGAAACTCAGTTGAAGAAATACCACATCACCAATCCAAGATTGGGGTAATATAGACAGGAAACCAAGAACTTCCAGAACCAGGAAAAAATGCTAAAAAAGAAACCTGACTTCCTCAAGAACCTTAGAAAATGTTTCCCTTATTGTTCCAACATAAGATTGACAGAGCAATTTGATATCCTGAAGAAAATGTTATACCGCAAGATTCTGTATTAACCCCAGCTTCCAAAAACAGTTATGGTTTGGTTCACTCCTGTAAGAGTTGAAGACATGCCGTTCTGTGGGATTATCCTGCAGCCAAATGTCCTGAGACACTGTTGAAGCAATCTGCCCCTTTTTCATGCTGCAAACCCAGTCATCCTGTTCTAAAGCTCTCTAAGGAGAAGACAATTCACAAGCAGATTCATATTAAAACCACAGCTTTCTTCGGTTGTCCTCTTACTACAAATGTTTCACATCAAGAGTATTTATTGGTAAAAGGGAAAAAGGTCCCAATCCTAGTTTATTATAACCATGATCATCCTTCCACAGTCAAGTTACTTAATTTTTAAATCCAACAGGTGAATAACATTTTTCTTGACATGATAAGTTGATAGCTCATTAGAATCTTTAAAATAATTATTTCCTGTACCTATTTTGTTTGATGATTTAGATAATTAACTTCTTTCGACATTAAGTTCTTTACACATCAAAGTTCTATCATTCCAGTGCTTTATTTCCTTTCTCCCAGACATTTAAAAAAAAAAGTCTGTTAA